TACGGAACTAATCTCTTTTGCAAGTAACAACTTGTACTTGCCACTGACTCGTTGGTAAATATTTTAAACAACCTGTTTCCAAAGCAACAGTGAACTCATCGGGAAAAAGAACAACAACATACAATTCGGTATGTAATCTGATGTGATATCGATACGTTCTTATGTAACAAGCTAACTTACATTCAAATAACGGCTGGATGAAAGCTGAGGGGTTTCATTACTTTTACCTTCATTGCCACAGTGAAACGTTTTGAAAGACGGGAGATTTACTACAAGTCTCACCAAGTGAAATTGGTCGAGTGAACGTCCAAGTCATGTTTCCATCATTAGATGTCATGATTCTAAAAAGAGGTGGAGGTGGACAGACAGAAAGCCATGATAAAGTGAAAGCTTAAAGATTTCTTGATTTTATATAGTAGCCCCTAAGAAGGAAACTCATTCACAATTTTTTTTCTTATTTTCCTTTCACTTTAAAACTGAAAAAATTCCTCTTAAGGTTTCTTCAACGCGGGTAGCAGTTCCCTTGGAAAGAAGCACTTTACTGTTATTATTATTATCATCATCATTATCATTATCATTATTATTGTTATTACTTGCACTACTAAGCCCTACATAAGATAACATTACACAAAATACGAACAATACTTTACATTGTTAATTTACAATACTGTTACACTAATATTTAGTGACAATAATGAAATTACTTCGAACACTACGATTTATTAACAATGCACGGTTCACATGTAAAAAAATCATTATTTCACATGCACTAATTAAACTAACAATACGTCAAGCATGATTTATATGTGTAATGATGAAACACGTTAAGATGCTTCTTTAACAAGACCACGTGACAAACACAAACCCATGCCCCTTGTCGTTATAACAACAGCTGTTGCTTTGCTCATCACCAGAGTTTTATGACCCACCTCCACCGCCACAGGAATTTGAGTCGTTATCCCCACTAGCACCCCCCGAGTAGCCGCCTCCGCCTCCAGCACCTCCTCCATTACCGTACGCTCCTCCTCCGCCACCAAATCCCCCATGGGCATTATTGCTCATTGCTCTACCTCCCTCTCCACCCTGAAGGAAACCTTTTCCACCCTCTCCTCCATTGCCGTAGCTCCCACCAAAGTTAACTGAGCTTCGGCCGCTTGTCAAAAAGCCTCCACCTCCTCCCCCTGTGGAAAAACGTAGAAAAGACCTGTTTTTAACGTCTGTTTGGGGAGGGGGTGGAGGTAGGCGGTTTAGAGGATGTTGGTTCTATCGCGGTATAATTTATTCGACTCCTCCAAAAAGCTATGTAATAGTCTTACGACCGCCCCTTTACCCCTCGTTAGCAGTTATACAGCAGTCAATTTTCTACAGTTCTCCCAAAAACTGATCCCGCCTCCTTTTCCACGGGAACCATGTGATCCCCCCCGAAGTCCTCCATCCCCCAAAGGTGCGGCGATAAACCATGAAAAGTCCCTAATTAACAACAAAGTTCTCGTTTCATTTCGTCGTGGCCATCACAGTGTCTGTCGTTTCGTAAGTGTGGGGTAATGATACTGATAATGAAAGGCATCTCTAAAAAAAAACAAAACAAAAAAGATCTATAAAACGACTCCTTTGCTTCCTTTGTCTATTTCAATTTATTTAAATAATTCTATTTTCGCTGTCGCTGCGCTCAAAATGAAAATGCAGCAAGTAATTTGTATGAATGTAATGAAGTTAAGATGTGACCGGTCATAAAGCCACTTCGGTAAAAAAANTATTGCTTCCTAAATCTATTTCAAAATTTTTTAATAAAATTCCACTTTCACTTGAATGAATGTGATGAAGAGTCCATAAAAAAGCCGCTTCAGTAAAATAATTTGCAACTCTTCAAAATATGCATTTAGGTTGAACTAATTTACGGATTCTCAAGTTTACCTGAGTTACCATGGTCAGCGGTGTTTGCTCCGGTACCATTACTTCCTCCAGACCACGTGGGTGACCCGTTTGAATATCCTGGATTCCCTGATGTGCTTGTTGTAGCGTGACATTCTGTTTTCGAGGACTGCGGTGACTCCCTTCCTCCACCTCCCCCGGCTATAATCAGGGGGGTGTTATCTGAACGTACCACGAAACTACCACCTCCCCCTCCTGAGGAAGATGAAGCACTATTGAGACCCCCTTCTTGGCCTACCAGAATTTTTAGTGTCTCTTCCTTTTTCAGTTGAAAAGTGCCAATAATCCGTGCTCCAAAACCGCGATATCTTCCGGCGTTTGTTGTATCGTAGCCACCTGTGGCGCCAACTGCCTCGATTCTGTACCGGGTATTGCACGGTAAACGCCACTGCTGGATTCCCGCCACAAGTGTCACATGACCATCATGGCCTTGGCCTTTGTAATGGTTGCCGATTGATGAAGGACCGAGGCGACCGCTTGCTCCAAGATTGGTAAAATTAGCAGTAAAATCTACACCAAAATCAAACAGGACAAAAATCAACAAATAGATTTCATGCTGCCGTGCGTTTGATCACTAACAGAACACAGATGACGTTAAAATGGGGTGAGAATATAAAAATGGCACACGAGGCGCAGTTGAATATGTCACTAATTTTCTTACCACATTTTGACGTCCCCTGTAATCTATTGCAGTTCAGTGGTGACGTCATCAGTGAGCCCGTCCTCTAATCGATCATGAGTAAGAACCAATCAATCTGCGTGCGTAATTCAGCTTATCATATGATGCTTATTAGAGTAAGATTGATTGCGCGCATGAGCACTTGATAGCCCTACATGGAATTGCAGTTTAGGCCCACGGGTAAACGTCCATGTTAAGTCACACTATTAAAACCGCCAACTGAGCCACGAACAGTCGTTTGTCTTGAAGCGGTACAAGAGATTATAAAGTGGTCATAATCTCTTGGACGATAGTATTGTTAAACAGAGTTACTTTCAATAAAATTATAAACTGGTCGTAATCTCTTGGCCGATAATATTGTTAAACAGAGTGACTTTCAATAAAATTGCTGAAAATCTGAAACTTATTTCCTTCATTTTCAGGTGCTCCCCTGCTCAACTTGAACCAAATTTAGCCGAAAGCTGATTTTCGTCGGTCAACATAATATTTTTATGAATGTAGGGTGCTTCAATTGAATGAGAATATTAAAAAATTTACAATTAAATAACAAAAAGCGCGCGTACTGCTGATTTATGGGATACAATTCTACTAGAAAGTTCTCATAGAATAAAAAGCTTCTAAAATAGCTGACCTTTGACTGGACCTTGAAGAGAATGAGGCTGCGAGTAAAACGAAAAAAAAAGCCATAATTAAAATAATGATTATCTTTATCAAAATTTTAAGCATTACTGTCTTAACATCGTCTTTTTTTTCGAAGCAGCATACAACAATCTTACGAAATTTTAAATTTTTTTTCTATGACGAGAAAAAAAGTTACCTTCAATCCAAGAAAAAGGCAAAAGATTACAAACAAACAAAATATCTATCTGATGAAAAATTTAAAAAAATAAAAAAAAAAGACACGAAAATGATAGTAACAAACCAAAAACGAAAAAGAGAGGCCAAGGTTGGTAATAAATAGATTATTTCAAATTTTAGCTTTGAGCCATTTTCACCCTGAAATAAGCATTCATATTCCTCATACTATTCTCCTTATATTTTCTATGGTACTGACAAGGAGAGCTTCTTTGACAATCAGGAACCACTCAAATTGGTAATCATTTTCTTTTTTTTTTTTCTTTTTTCATGACCTTTAAATCTGATTCAAGGATGATACTGTCAGAAGCTATATACCCTTAGGGGTTTAATGTTTAATCAGGAACCGCGGAGAGCCATTTTAAAGTTGCAGGCCTAGGGCTAGAAAATCTGGCCAATACAAACAAACGCTGAGGAAGTGTTCGTCATTTATCTTGTACAGCTTTACCGAGTCTTTGGCTTGACGCCTTTTATAACTTTCAAGTGGTAAAATCCATATTCTGTCTATCTCAACTAGAGCCCTAAGAAATAAATTCCAGCAATAAAAGTGGTGGGGCTATAGCCATACCAACCCCTTCAGTCCCCTCCGTGGTCCCTGTTAATTGACAAGACTTCAAATTATTGACGCTCACGTTAAACGCTTCTCTCCTTCGCAGCCATTGTCAAAGCCATGCTTTCTATACTAATCACACAGAGCTTTTGCAATAGATATA